TGTGTCTATATTTAAACAGGCAACCTGATTCAAGTATCCCCCCCCCCCAACCCCCCACCAAACCAACTTCGTTCTATGTACATTATATGCAATTTTCACAATTAAATATAAAGTGTATAAATATATGATAAAGTCCAAAAAATGTCAGAATAATATGGACTCGTTTCCAAGGTAAGATAACAACAGGACTCCAATAGGGCAGACGTGTTCGTGCAGTGTTTAACATTATACTCCATAACTTGTACATACAGAATGTCTTTGTTGTTTTTCCTTTGTTTATTTTGTAACAAAATAAAATAGACTAAATTCTTTCTATGTTATAAGCGCTGTTATTGTAAATAAATTTTTAGCACCTTCTAACACATAAATAGTATCAATGGCTTATAAATGGATGTATTGTGACACACATGTGCAACCTCTTACCTGTGACCTATACACCTACTTTTTTTATGTCATTTTGTTAAGTTCTGTAGTCAGCATTACTGGGATGTTGTTTAAAAGTACAGAGTTCTAAAGACATCAGAATTCAAAAGTTGTATATATCTAGCAGATTGTAAATTCAACTAAAATTTCTATAAACTAAGGATGTCATTAAAGTTGCTATTTTCATAAAAATAATCACCAGGGATTTAAATTCACGGCTGACTCCACTCAAGTATTAACACAAAATTATTTCCCGTGCAAAATGTAAATGATTGACTGTAAACTAAACAACAACAAACCAAATTAATTAGTGAAAGTAGACATGTGAGTTATTTCTCAAATGTCATTTATGCTTTAAACTTTTTGATGATAGGTTTTATGGGAAATTCTACATAAAACATCCAGAACATCTAACAATAACACAAGATCAGTGACTTGTACAACACATCAACAGTTTTTTTTCATTGATTTTATCATGAAATGCATGTCATACCATGCTGCTACTCAAAAACGCATCTTGTTTTTAATCAAAAGCACTTGCTGGCTTTATCACAAGTGTATTCAACACACAGAAAACCATGTACTTAACATTAATATGACGCTCAACTTCAATTCATTAAGGGAGATAACTGATTAAAGATTAACATTGTAACAATAAAATTACATTTGAGTATGAGTTCATGATTTTCAAATTCACATGTAAATTATTTTGCAAAACATGAGAAAGAATATGTTGAAATATCACAGGGCCACATAAACCATTCTCTTGTTGCTATTAAAATCTATTTATAACCTAAAACCTGTCAATAATGGAACTTCAGCATGTGTTGTTTGACTTCAGCAAATCTTAACAACTGTCAAATTGAATGTACTATAAATGGAACCACAAGGCCACTGATTAATTTGGTCAAATTATACCAGGTTATTTGTTAGGGTATCAAACTACAATGGTTGTGAAAATATACTTAAAGTGTCAAATGTCAAATGCCTATGAATAGGTTGTGAATACTAGTGAACTTAATTATTTTAGCTTAATGACCAATGGGAAAAGGGGGCTCCCTATAGGGTTTAGATGTAAATTATAACTGTAAAAGTTATATATACTGCAACTCTGCACTGTCAAGGACACAGGTTAAAAGGTAAAGTTGAAGATCATTGGTATGATTTACATTCATGTGAATGGTTTATTGTCAAGGTCATGTAAAGGTTTACTGTCAAGGTCATGTAAATGGTTTATTGTCAATGTCATGTAAAGGTTTACTGTCAAGGTCATGTGAATGGTTTATTGTCAAGGTCATGTAAAGGTTTACTGTCAAGGTCATGTGAATGGTTTATTGTTAAGGACATGTAAAGGATTACTGTAAATGTCATGTGAAGGTTTACTATCAATGTCATGTAAAGGTTTACTGTCAATGTCATGTGAATGGTTTACTGTCAAGGTCATGTAAAGGTTTACTGTCAAGGTCATATGAATGGTTTATTGTTAATGTCATGTAAAGGATTACTGTCAATGTCATGTAAAGGTTTACTGTCAAGGTCATGTAAAGGTTTACAGTCAAGGTCATGTAAAGGGTTTATTTTCAAGGTCACAAAAAGGTTTAATATCAAGATCACGTTAAGGATTTGTTGTCGTTGTCATGTTAGGGGTTTATTGACAAAATCAGGCTTAGAGTTTAGTGATGCTGTAAATGTATGGTTTACATCCCTCATCATGTAAAAGGTTTTTGATGATAAATGTCTATAGAAAGATTAACATTACTACCAAGTTGTACATATATAGTTAGTCTGATATTTGTACATACAGGTAGCTAACAGCTTTTGCCTAAGTCAATTTTCCTTAAAGATTACTTGACAATTAGCTTTGATTTAACTCTCTGATTTCACTTTGAAAATCTAAAGAACCCTTTCCCTCTTCGTGAAAATGTTCAATGTGATATCACAATTTAATTTCTTTACTAAAGGAATGAATGAGTTTCAACATCACAGTGCAATGATCTCCAACAGAAAGAATGTGCTGCATGTGGACACATCATTGTTGAACCTGTACAGTACCAGTATGATACATTCCAAGGAATAACTGCAACATACTTATATTCCATTGCTGCTCATCTGGCTAGAGCCAAATCAATATAATCAATACTACTGGACAAATGACAAGGAATCTGAATTAGCTGGCTACTTCATTCCAATCGCTCCATCTGATAAAGCAGATCAATGGTAGAGAAGGGTGCAGACAGAAGGGCCACGCTATCAACAAATCCCGCTGGACTATGCTATCAAGGGCCACTCTTACTATTATAAAATATATGTAAATGGCCACTCTAGTAACAAAACCCCGTGGTATGAAACCTAAACAACCAAATCTTCTGACACAATCAATAAAGACATCAACAAATATTTCTCTTTAAACCTGCTCCATGATGTTACATTCTCAATTTCCTTGCATGTTTACAGAATTTATCTCTGAAGTGTTTTTATCAGCAATATTCTTTAAATATTTTCTGATACTGAAAATTGTTCTCAAGAATCACAAAAAATGACCTTGACCTTTGAATTTTGATGACTTTATTATAATATCTAATATGATATTTCCTTAGAGCCAATAACTAGAGATGTTGTTGAATGGTTTGATGGTTTGTTTTAAAAATAATAATAGGGGACCTTGACCTTGTCTCAATATTACCCTGAAACTCTAATTCATTCCAGGTAATGTTGTAGTGGACATTTGTTTAAACCAAGCTAAGCTACATATGGAGTTAAAAGTTTACAGAATTTAAGAAGGTTTTCTTTAAAATCATTGAAAAAAGTTTTCATACAAGAAAATAAAGTATAATGCAAAGTAAAGTTCACAAAATAACAAAGCAATTTCAATGTATTAATTAACTGGCTCTACTGCATTTAATTCTAAATTCTGTGATGGTGCTATTCACTTGTATTATTTGTACAATAATCCATACTTTCATATAATCATCATTTCAGCAAACAACTAAAAATATGTCAAACTCACACTATGTGTCTGACAACAAACATGCAGCTTAGCAGAAATGTTACTTTGATATATTGCTCTAAACACCAAATATAACCGATATATTATGTAGACTTTTAAAGTCAAATTGGACAAAAGTTTTCATTTATGAACAGCCTGGATCATTTATGGATGTAACAGGGATTTGGGTGGTAGAGGAAAGTTTGAGCTCCCAGAGAAAAAACACTGACCTGCGGCCAGTACCTGAAATCTACGCTGTGCAGCTCCCCATGGACACATGTTTAATGGTATTAAACCTTTGGTAACAACCAAGTAGGTAGGAATAAAATTTTTCAAATCTTAACAATTGACCTGATGATCTTGACCTGTGGCTGGGGGGTGGGGGATGTCTCAATTGATTGAAGTCAATTAAGATTCAGTATTTCATGAGTAAATATTTACCACTGACATTCAGGTATATATATACACATGTATCTTGCTGTATATTCCTGTTTTTATCTAAAGTGTTGGTGACCTTGACCTTTGACCTCTTAACATGCAAATCAATTGAGACATGGGAGCAATTGAGAAAGTATGAGTGTATTCATCCAAACAGAACCAAAAAATATTTGGCACAAGCAGTTTCTCTGATTTTTCTATTGATAAAAACAGTGTCCATGACCTTTGACCTTAGTACCTGTAAATCATTACCACACAAGCCCCTTTTTTGAAGAGGCATTGGCTATAGTTTGAGTGCAACTGGCTTAACAGAACTTGAAATATTTCTTTAGACACAAAAAAGATAAATAGACAGACAGATGGATAACCTGATGACAATTAGGCATCCATATCTTTGTAGCCGAACCTCAACTGAATCCAAACTCCATATGGGTGCATATGACATACAGGTAGTGTGTGTCATGATGCACACTATTTGAGTTTGAGACATTTCATTACAATTTCAGTTTTCATTTGGGATCCCACATCAGAGGCACATTTACTCTGAATCAGAGAGACAGCTAATTATTGACAGGACACAAAACATAACTTGTGTTTAATTTAAAGCTAATTCAAAATTTAAAAGTATATGTTATCACCAGTGTTTGGTAAGATTTCTTCTAAATGGTACAAAGTGAAGGGAAGTACAATGCTGTACAAGCTCACCATAGTAGCAAACCAAGGGAGCTAACAACTCACTCATTTGTCACAAGTGCTAGGATCAGATCAGTTATCTCCCTTCTACCACCTGACAATGTACAAACGATAAATTTCTTCCATAACAGTTATCTCCCTTATGTCAAATTCTCTCTTTATATCCGATATCTCTTTCTTGTTATTACTAATCAATTTACAACCAAAATCTTATCAAGGTTGTCAGCCATTTATGGCCTCCTCGTTGTTAATGAAACTACATTCATCAAATTACAGATGTATACTCAGGCAAAAGGCTACACAATAGGTTGCTTGACGAGGCTAATTTCTTCCATGAGAGGTAAAATTGATTTGAAAGTGATAATACAGACTGTATTGAATTTTCTGATCAAAACAAACAATGCAAAAATTCTCAAGTAATACTCGAAAGTAAATTAAATATTGAGAGCAGTGCACTTACCTGCTGTGACCTCAGGAACAGTGAGGCTGCTACCAATGGTAGAACTACTGTCCTTACATGGCGGGGTAAGATACTGCTTTGAATTCTGTGACTCAGTTTGCTGGTTATAAAGGTTAACATCATTGTCACTGAAACTAAACAGACTTGATCCTTTCTCTGGTGTATTGTGCCTACTGGTCTCACAGCTAGCTGTCTCTATGGAAAAGACTGGATTTACAAATCCATCTGGATTCAATATAGTATCAGAATCATGTAAGGTGTCAAGGTCATTGGGTCCAGGATCAACAAGTCCGTCAGGATTTATATGGATATGTGGACTGATAAGACCATCAGCATTAATGAAAATGTTTTGATTGACATGGGGATGAACGTCAGGTTTTGGTAGTGCATCTGTGTTCTTATGAACACCAGGATTTGGTAGGTCATCCAAATTAGAAATGGCTTTGTCAGACCCTGAACTCCCAGATATGATGACCTCCCCCTTAGTTGTAAACACAGGGTTGTCAATGCCATTAAGAGGCGTTTCTTTTTTATGGCTTTGTTCAATATCGAGCAGGTCCTCATTAGAGGCTGTGCTAGGGGTGGAGGCATTAGTGACCTCAATCTGTATGTTGATTGGAATAGGACTTTTAACACCATCATTCTTTAGAACATTGCTATCTCCTGTGATAGCACTGTTCTTGCCCACCTCATTTGGCACATTGCTGTCTCCATTATCCTTCTTGCCTATATCCTTTGAAACACTGCTTTCTCCGTTGTCTTTTTTGCATACCTCCTTTGGCACATTGCCACCTCCAACTTTGTTTCCTTTCTTGCTTGCTTCTCGTGGCACATTGTCGTCTCCAACTTTGTTTCCTTTCTTGCTTGCTTCTCGTGGCACATTGCCACCTCCAACTTTGTTTCCTTTCTTGCTTGCTTCCTTCAGTCCACTGCTATCTCTATTACCTCTCTTGTCTGCTTCTTTTAGAAAACTACTGTTTCCCACTTTGTTTACCCTTTTCATCATCTTGACCATGAAAGAGAAGAAAAATGCACATAAGATACATGTTGGATACGTATCAATTTTTAAAAAAAGGTAAACTGGATTTTAACATTCCAAAACAGATGTTTTGTCCATGTACACAGGAATTTGATTTCTCCTGTATTAGATATGATATTGTCATAACATCTCCAAAATGAACACACATTTTTAATGACAACAATTTCTGTGATGCCACAGTCAGACATTGCAGCTAATTATGAACAGCACATCCTTGATATGAGCTTTGGACCACCATGTAAGACTTTTTGGGTCCATAGAAAGTTATAAACATGCAATTCCAAGGTTATCGTAGGGCTTATCAAGACAAATATAGGCCCCATTCCCAATTGGAGTTTGTTTTATTTTGCCAAAATAAGATTTCCTTCACAAATGATCAGTTTTCTTCCAAAAATGGAATAAAAGGGCCCTTTGTGGGAAACATCCCAGTGTTTTTAGTCTGAATTATTCATTAATGTAATATCAATCACATGTGTTCACTTTACATCCCCTCTTCATTTTAGTGTATAAGTGGTTTTGTTTGTAAATGATTAGGTGACCTAAATATTAAAAGAATATGGATAATATTTGTCAATGTTATGAACAGATATTGTAATCAATGGGTATAGGATATTATATGCACATCATACATGTCATAATCAACTGATTTATTAGGTTAAGGTGAAACTAAAGCAAGGTCTCAGTCTCATTGAAAAACTCATCATATTGACAAACCTCATCATATTGACATACCTCATCATATTGACATACCTCATCATATTGACAAACCTCATCTTATTGACAAACCTCCCCTCATTATATTGACATACCTCATCATATTGACATACCTCATCATATTGACATACCTCATCATATTGACAAACCTCATCATATTGACAAACCTCCCCTCATTATATTGACATACCTCATCATATTGACATACCTCATCATATTGACATACCTCATCATATTGACAGACCTCATCATATTGACAAACCTCCCCTCATCATATTGACATACCTCATCATATTGATAGACCTCATTATGTTGACATACCTCATTATATTGACATACCTCATTTTATTGACATACCTCATCATATTGACATACCTCATCATATTAACAGACCTCATCATATTGACATACCTCATTATATTGACATACCTCATCATATTGACATACCTCATCATATTGACAGACCTCATCATATTGACATACCTCATTATATTGACATACCTCATTATGTTGACAAACCTCACCTCATCATATTGACATACCACATTATGTTGACAAACCTCAACTCATCATATTGACATACCTCATCATATTGACATACCTCATTATGTTGACAAACCTCACCTCATCATATTGACAGACCTTATTTCATCATATTGACAGACCTCACTTCATCATATTGACAGACCTCACCTCATCATATTGATAGACCTCATCATATTGACAGACCTCATCATATTGAGACCTCATCATATTGACATACCTCATCATATACACAAACCTCATCATATTGACAGACCTCACCTCATCATATTGACAGACCTCATCATATTGAGACCTCATCATATTGACAAACCTCATCATATACACAAACCTCATCATATTGACAGACCTCACCTCATCATATTGACAGACCTTATCATATTGACATACCTCATCATATTGACAGACCTCATCACATTGAGAGACTTCATCACATTGACAGACCTCATCATATTGACAAACCTCACCTCATCATATTGACATACCTCATCATATTGACAGACCTCATCATATTGACAGACCTCATCATATTGACAGACCTCATCATATTGATAGACCTCATCATATTGACAGACCTCACCTCATCATATTGACAGACCTCATCATATTGACAGACCTCATCATATTGAGACCTCATCATATTGACAGACCTCATCATATTGACAGACCTCATCATATTGACAGACCTCATCATATTGACATACCTCATCATATTAACAGACCTCATCATATTGACATACCTCATTATATTGACATACCTCATCACATTGAGAGACTTCATCACGTTGACAGACCTTATCATATTGACATACCTCATTATATTGACATACCTCATTATATTGACATACCTCATTATGTTGACAAACCTCACCTCATCATATTGACATACCACATTATGTTGACAAACCTCAACTCATCATATTGACATACCTCATTATATTGACATACCTCATTATGTTGACAAACCTCACCTCATCATATTGACATACCACATTATGTTGACAAACCTCAACTCATCATATTGACATACCTCATCATATTGACATACCTCATTATGTTGACAAACCTCACCTCATCATATTGACAGACCTTATTTCATCATATTGACAGACCTCACTTCATCATATTGACAGACCTCACCTCATCATATTGATAGACCTCATCATATTGACAGACCTCATCATATACACAAACCTCATCATATTGACAGACCTCACCTCATCATATTGACAGACCTCATCATATTGAGACCTCATCATATTGACAAACCTCATCATATACACAAACCTCATCATATTGACAGACCTCACCTCATCATATTAACAGACCTCATCATATTGACATACCTCATTATATTGACAGACCTCATCACATTGAGAGACTTCATCACATTGACAGACCTCATCAAATTGACAAACCTCACCTCATCATATTGACATACCTCATCATATTGACAGACCTCATCATATTGAGACCTCATCATATTGACAGACCTCATCATATTGACAGACCTCATCATATTGATAGACCTCATCATATTGACAGACCTCACCTCATCATATTGACATACCTCATCATATTGACAGACCTCATCATATTGAGACCTCATCATATTGACAGACCTCATCATATTGACAGACCTCATCATATTGACAGACCTCACCTCATCATATTGACATACCTCATCATATTGACAGACCTCATCATGTTGACAGACCTCATCATATTGACAGACCTCCCCTCATCATATTGACAGACCTCATCATATTGACAGACCTCATCATATTGACATACCTCATCATATTGACATACCTCATCACCCTGACAGACTTCATCACGTTGACAGACCTTATCATATTGACAGACCTTATCATATTGACAAACCTCACCTCATCATATTGACAGACCTCATCATATTGACATACCTCATCATATTGACAGACCTCATCACATTGAGAGACTTCATCACGTTGACAGACCTTATCATATTGACAAACCTCACCTCATCATATTGATAGACCTCATATTGACATACCTCATCATATTGACATACCTCATCATATTGAGAGACTTCATCACGTTGACAGACCTCATCATATTGACAAACCTCACCTCATCATATTGACATACCTCATCATATTGACGGACCTCATCATATTGACAGACCTCACCTCATCATATTGATAGACCTCATCATATTGACAGACTTCATCATATACACAAACCTCATCATATTGACAACAGACCTCACCTCATCATATTGACAGACCTCATCATATACACAAACCTCATCATATTGACAGACCTCACCTCATCATATTGACAGACCTCATCATATTGACAGACCTCACCTCATCATATTGACAGACCTCATCATATTGACAGACCTCATCATATTGAGACCTCATCATATTGACAAACCTCATCATATACACAAACCTCATCATATTGACAGACCTCACCTCATCATATTGACGGACCTCATCATATTGACAGACCTCATCATATTGACAGACCTCATCATATTGACAGACCTCATCCTAATGACAGACATCAGCCTCATTAAAGACTGACAATGGATTTAAATGAAAAATTTGAAATGTTTTGCAGACAACAGTTGCCATCTTTGTTGCCTAAAAAGTGAATACCCCCATTTTGTTTTCGAGACTTTTCACTGCATACAAGAATGGTATAACAAGGTGGGTAAGGTCTAGGTCAATAATTGATCTAAGTTGTTTGTCTTTAATCGATGATTGTCTGGTGATCATTTAGCTTCTATCAATATATAACATGTGTATATCCATCCTATTACACTTTACCTGTAAATGTAGTATGTGATTCAATCAGAGACTAGGGATCAGTCCACATCTGAAAATAAGACCAAAAAAATTCATAAAATAATGACACAATGAAATTGGAATAAATTTCTGTTAAAGATGTTCTAGTTAACATTACTCCATAATATACCAGCTCTACCAAGGTCATGTTATAATCATACCAAGGTCATGTTATAATTCTACTTAGGTCATGTTATAATTCTACCAAGGTCATGTTATAATTCTACCAAGGTCATGTTATAATTCTATCAATGTCATGTTATAATTATACCAAGGTCATATTATAATTCTACCAAGGTCATGTTATAATTCTACCAAGGTCATGTTATAATTCTATCAAGGTCATGTTATAATTCTACCAAGGTCATGTTATAATTCTACCAAGGTCATGTTATAATTCTACCAAGGTCATGTTATAATTCTACCAAGGTCATGTTATAATTATACTAAGGTCTCAGATACAGCTCTACCAAGGTCTTGTTATAATCATACCAAGGTCTCAGATACAATTCTACCAAGGTCTTGTTATAATTATACTAAGGTCTAAGATACAATTCTACCAAGGTCTTGTTATAATTATACTAAGGTCTAAGATACAATTCTACCAAGGTCTTGTTATAATTATACTAAGGTCTCAAATACAACTGTACCAAGGTCTTGTTATAATTATACTAAGGTCTCAGATACAACTGTACCAAGGTCTTGTTATAATTATACTAAGGTCTCAGATACAACTGTACCAAGGTCTTGTTATAATTATACTAAGGTCTCAGATACAGCTCTACCAAGGTCATGTTATAATTATACTAAGGTCTCAGATACAGCTCTACCAAGGTCTTGTTATAATTATACTAAGGTCTCAGATACAACTGT